CAGGATGCCTGTCTCTATGGTGGGTGGTACTGGATGATCTGGAAAATTCTTGGCAATAAGCCAGGAGGCAATATGGCCAAGGAGGAGCTGCATAAGGCATACTAGGAGGCACCCAAGGGTGCTCATAACAGTGAGGTGTTGGTGGTAATCATGGGTTGCAAGTAGTTGCAGCTTCAGCAGAAGCCTCTGGGAAGGGCCCTCTGAAGGACTGAGGAGACCACCTCTGGACTGATGCTTGTGAGACCAAGGCAAGATCCTCCTCAGAATCCTCTTCCTCAGGTTCACTCAGGAATGGTGGAGCTCCTGGAGAGATCTGAGGTGAAATCATTTCAGGTGATCTTGATGTTCTTGGTACTGACAGCAAATCAGAGCTGAAGAGCCGAGTCAGGAGTCTCAGTTATAGCCAGGTCCTGGGGAAAAACAGAACTCTTGCAGCAACATGAGAAATATCAATACCAAGGCTCATGATGTCAGTCATGGCCGAGGACCCTGATGATACCACAGTCTTCAGGTGCTCAGAGGGAAGCACAGTGGTTGACAGAGCCGAAGATCTCATGTGCCCCAAGGAAGGCATGGTCGGAACCTCAGTGGACTTCTTCCATACTGAGGAAGAGCTCTTCTTGCTGCCTCGATCTGATAATGGTACCAAGGGTCTCTCTGGCCCCGTGGCCTTGTGATCTAACTGTACCCTGGGTACCTTAGGAACTGAGAGCCAGGTACCTGAATGGGGTGCTGGAGTAGCTAAGTGAACCAATAACCTTGACTTTTTAGAGGTAAAATCTCTATGTGGCGAACACTTTCTTTTGAGGACTTGAGAGAGGAGTCCTGTATCTTCCTCTTGGGTGCCCTGGAACTGTGGGACTCCAAGGCAGCAGACTTGCTTGGGGACTGACATATGGGGGGCTCCCTTGGCCTGGGTTGGAGGTCAGACAGAGAGCTCTCCATCACGAGGAAGCGAAGCTTTAGTTCTGTTTTTTCTGGCTCTTGATTTAAAGGCCAGACAAAAATTGCACTTTTGAGCAATAGATACAGAGGGCATGTCTGAGGCTGCCTGGGATTGCCTCCTGGCACGACAAACATAGCTTGAAGCCAGGAGAACTGGGCATCACCTCCCAGTCAGAAAAAAAATGTCAGATCTAAAGTCTATATAAATAGTACATAGAAAAAATATTTAAAAAAAGAAAAAGAAAAAAGCTATAATAGTAGTATATACTAACTATGGAAAAATTAACACTAACACTACAACCATCACCAAGAGAGAAAAATAGAGTTGAGGAAATCTATATAGGACAACTGCTAAAACTCCGTCTCAGCCCAAGGTGGTTGACGGTGGCTTGCCCACGTTGTGCTATATAACAGCAGCAGGGGGGATGAGACTGACAAACGCATGTGCAGGCTGAGCAGACTCTGCTATGAGAAATCTCAGGTCAAAGGCACAGCAGACCTAGAGTGGAGCACCTGTAGGAACGTTACTTGAAGAAGAATCAGAATTTATTGAAATTAACTGCTAAAGTACTGTTCAGCAACAAGTAAGCTGGATTCCCATCACCACCAACTGAACCTGAAGGATCCATGTTTAAAAAAAATAAAACCCTGTCAAATAAAAAATATTAAAAGGCATATTCTACAAGTGTTAGCAGGTATGAATGAACTCTCCTCTGACATCTAGCAATGAGCTGAGGGAAGAGAGTTCAGGAACAGAATGTGTTTGCATAGATATGCCTACTTGCCTAGGTGCGTAGCATAGGGTGACCGGATAGAAAGTGTGAAAAATCAGGAGAGGGTATGGGGGGGTAAATAGGCACCTACGTAAGAAAAAGCCCCAAATATTGGGACTGTCCCTATAAAATCAGGACATCTGGTCACCTTAGCATAGCATGATGAAGCTGCTTTGCTAAAATTATCACTTTTGGCTGATGTTGGGCAGCAGAACTGTACTTAGCATGCCTGGATTGAAGGGGTCACCTTAAATGGAACTTCACTCACTAAGCATGATAGGGATGACAAATACCAGTAAAGAAGAGACAGGTGGGGTCAGATGTTCCTACATGGTAGTGTGGACTCTACTCAAAGAATCCTACACACCATTTGACTTTCCGCTCTCCAGTGTTTAAAGACAGAGCTAATTAGACTCAACTGAGAGTCACTGTTTCTGTACAGCGATTACCAGAGCTGAATCACTAATGATCAGATCTAGAAGCTATGCCCTAGACCTGGTGTAGGCACAGTGGTGAGAGGAAAGAAAATCCAGAGACAAGCAGTGGAGGCAGCAGCAAACAACCAGTTGCAGAGGCAGACAGCAACCACAGAGACATTGCTTGATTACTCCTCCCCCTTTGTTGGAATGGGAGGTGAACCCCTGTGAACACACCTCTGAACTCACGGTCTTTGCTAACCAAGGACAGCCAACTGTGAGTAGGATGCAGCAGAGGGGTGTATGTGATTCCTTAAAGGATCATTTGTTTGTCAGACTTTTCCACCACAAGGTGGAAAACTTAGGCAAAGAACACTGCTCAATACATCGTGGGGTCAGGTTTTGCTTATGGTTGCATGCTTTTGAATGCAGTTGTGGTGTTTTCCCAAACTTATGCTTGGTTTCCCTTCCCTTTTATTAACAGTTCTCTTTTGTTATACACAGACTTAGTGCTTGCAAGTGGGGAAGTAGTGCCTCTCAGAGGCGCTCACGGGTGGTTATTACATTTTCCCAGATCATTGGGTGGAGGCTTGAGCTAGTTCTGTTTTGAATGGTTAAGAAGAACCCCTCAATATTGAAGGTGACCCTTGTTGCTGCTGACTCCACTTCACAGAAGGGTTACACAAGGAAAGACTTTGTTAAATAATCTAAATCCTCTTCTTTCCCATGTACAGGGGAAAATATATTTTATTTATGAATATACAAGCTCTGATTCTCCACTGTCTTGTTCATGTACATCTACCCCAAGTAAGTGCAAAATGCTATCATTGGTATGAGTAGAAATTTCTGGATTTGGCAATTTGTACATCAATTTTGCACAGATGTAAATGAATACACAAAATGCAAGGTCTAGAAATTCAGGTCCACTGCACCTACAGTAGATACATAACCAGATGTCTTGATTATAACTTATGAAGAGTTTGTGAAGTACTGTGTGCAGGTCCATACTATATGTTTTAGATTTTTGTAGGCCCCTAACCTGCAATGAAATTAAGCACATGCTTAATTTAAAGCATGTGAAGAGTTCCATGGAAGTCAGTGGGACAATTTATGTGCTTAAGTGCTTTACTGACTGGGTACACACAATGGGATGGCAGAGCGCTAACGTATCAAGGATACCACAAGAGAACCATTGATTAACTCATAAGAGAAACAAATATTACACAATTTCCTACAAAATAGTAATGATTTTGGTACTCCTGAGTAAGAATCAGATAGTGTTCACCACTTAATATAAGAGACTGGCTAGGTTATAGTTGAAGAAAAATAAGCTCCATAATAAAAATCAAATTCCTTTTCAACCTTGTTCACTTCCCCCTTCAAAGGAAACCATAAAATTAGAGTAGGGAAAATGTGTGGACCAGTGCCTAGAGCTGGAAAATAAGACTCAGGAGACCTGCATTCTGTTGCCAACTCTGTCACTAAGTCTCTCTTTGTGATCATGGAACAAGGCACAACCTTTCTATACCATGGTTTCCTCATTTGTATAAAGGCTGATAACAATACTTACCTCTGCAAAGAACGTTGATATCTGTGGATGAAAAGTGTTATACAAATTCTACATTTTATTACCATTATTATAGTCTTAATGGGAAATAAATACATTTTTCCCCAATACTAAAACAAGTCAGAAGTCAGATATCACATTTCATTTTCTGATAACTAAATTTACTTCCCCCACCATTTAGCCCCTTATCACATGGTGACATTGGCACTTTGAGAGGGAGCAGCACATTCCACTTTGGCCTTCACTTTAAGAGGGAGCAGCACATTCCAATTTGGCCAATTAACTGGATTTAAAAGAGGGCACTTGAGCCCTAGGGAAACAGAGACCTGGTGAGTCAGGGCTGCCTGGGAGGAGAAGCTTGAGTGTGAGATAAAAGCTGGCACAAACTATATGTGATCCCTGGGAGAAGGCAGGAGAGCAGTGGAGGAGTTTGCTGGCTGGCATCCCCAAGCCAGAGAGCCAGGGCGGTAGGGCTGAAGGCCAGGGAGCAGCAAAGGGAGTTGCCTGCTGGCCCTAAGCTGAAGAGTTAGAGCCAAAGGCCAAAAGCAGAGGAGGAGCTTACCTGCTAACATCTCCAGGGCTGGAGAACTGAACCCAGAGGAACAAAGAGAGGGCCAGGGGGAGTGAGGGATGCTCCCTTGGCAAGAGAGGCTGTGGCTGTTTCTGCATGGAAGAGTGGGGTTGCATGCCAGGTGGAAGGGCTGGGGTGGCTGTCCAGGGCCAGAGGAAGAGCAGAGGACTGACAGGGTCTGGGTGTGGTCAAAGTGGCTGGTGTGTTGTATAGGGCATATTGAGGGACTAGCTGTTGGGATCTTAATCACTATTTAAACTGAGTGTGATAAATGAATTTTATTTTGGGACTATTGTTATGGACTATTTTGCATAAAATTTTAATAATAAACCAGTCCAACGGAGGGGTATTATTGAGAGAGCAGAGCTTCCATGGAATTAGTAGGTTATGAGAAGGGGAAACCAGGGTTACAAGAAGCAGTGTGCCACAGCCACGAGGGAGTGCTCAGGAGGTGGCCAACCCTATTATGCTGCTCTACATCATCTAGTAGTTTACTGAGATCTTTCTTTTACAAGTTAACCACAACTTTATTTTCTAAAGCTTCCCCTTATACTGATCTTACATATCAAAGACCAGATTTACGACAGGTACTACTTTTTCATATTTCAAGTCTACCACATAGTAGTACACCACTTATTCCTAAATGATTTGCTTAAGAATTCTACAGTTCATTGTATTACCACCAATACATTTTAGCGCCACAATAAAATTAAAGCAAAAACACGTACTGGATTGTTATTGGTTTTCCCTGCAAGGATGACTCTGGCTTTGATCTTGTTCATATTGAAGTTTTTCAAATAGGCCTCATAAATTCTCTTGGCAAGAGATTTAAGATCTGCCATTTCTGAATCTTCCACATCTTGTTCACCTGTTAGAATTTCTGCTTTCAACTTTGCCTTCTCAGACCTTGGCATTCGTCCAAACCGAATTGCTGGTAGAAACACAATTATGAAACAAATACATAAATTCTACATAAGTCTATACTTTTTTCCCCTCCCTGAATACAGCAGTCAGATTTCTATCTAGAAGGAGTAATGACTATTCGAGGCAGCCTGTCCTACCTATAAAGCCATGAATTAAAGAAGACAGCCCTTCCCCACATAATTAGTCCCTAATTATTAAATCACCAATCTCCAGTGAGGATAATCAAATGTCATGCTTCAGAGCATAAGCTGATAGCTGCAGTGGTCCAGAATTAATGCACTCTGTTGTATGCAGAGGGGAAAGGGCAATGTACTACTAACTGTTTGACTTCAGTTGAAGCATCCTATTCTAGCCATGCTGGCAGGAGACTAAACCAGACTAGAAATTTATTTAATGATTATACACTTGCTGTGAAAGATTGGAAAACAGCCAGTAGACCTATGTCCCATAAATAAAATTTGGAACACTCAGATCAAGTACTAAGCCAAATTACTAAATTCACTATATTTTTAAATCCTCAGAAGATATGGGGTGCTTGAATACAAATATATTCATCCGCATATAAAACAAGTTCCAAAATGCAAACAATGTCTTGCACATAAGGAAGTAATAGAATAAAAAGTTAAAGTTTTTTAAAATAATATTAATGACAATTGCATTTCAGACACATTTCAGACACACACTAAGTATTTAACTGTAGATTTATTCTACTTGGTGACAAACAAAATTGAAATGATTTTAGAATATTTAGAGGACCAGACAAACAAACAGCAACTATAAAGTTCAGATATATTTTCTGGAAATGAAAGGCAATTTTCTGATGACCCCAATAGTAAAGTTGTAAAAGTGAACTAATACATACTTTTAGTGACCTTTCATTTTGTTGATCAAATTGAATTACACATCAGAGGAGAAATCTCACAAACATACATTCTTAAGCTAGCCTTCAATATTTTTTTCTCATTCCCAGTCAAGCATGCTTACATGCCTCTTCCACATTTAATTTTTGAAAGGGAAACTTTTGGTTTTTTTGGGGAAAAATGACCTTTAAAATTTGTCCATACACCGTGCACCTAAAACATGATTACTCCAGAGCACAGGAAAAGAAGGAAAGCAAAACACAAATGAACCCCACTAATTAGACCTTGATCCTATACTGAGAACAAAATCCTGCACCCAAGCATTCTCAATGCAGGATCAGGGCCTCATTTTAATACACTGTAAACACCTGAGACTGAATCCTGTAACACTTGCTCACACAAGTAACTCTGTGGAACTACTCATATGAGTAAAGTTATTCACATGCCTGCTTGCGGAATTGGGAACAAATTATTAAGGGCACTCTTACGTACCATTATGTGACATTCCAACTGAAAGGCACTTTTGAAAACGACAGTATTGGCACTTATTACGATTTTTTTTCTGTATTTTGCAGGTACGATCACATTTATCATAGATGAGTTTAAGTCGAATTGTTCTCCTAAAAAATCCCTGTAAAATGTTTAAGAGAACATTATATATTGTCAAAAAGTGAGCTAATGTAAGTCTTCCAATAAATCTTAATCATATCACTACATTTTCTCTTTTCTTTCTGTCTTATTTTTCCACAATTGACACTTACAGAAACTAAAGGTAAATGTTAATCTAGATAAATATAAGTAAAGTATGATGTGTCAAAATGCAACAGTTTCCTACTTCACTAAATACAGCATTACATGGAGGCCAGATTCGCACCTGCATTGAGTTTACACTTGGCACAGATAGAATGTGGGGGGTGGGAAAGGTAGCTTTAAGCCTCCTTTCTGCACTCCTGATCCTTTGCAGGCTGTGGGGACCAAGATGCCTCTTAAGGTAATATCAGAGCAGCCTTTAAGGATCAAGCAGAACAACCATGCACTGTGCCCTGCACCGTCTTACCCTAGCATACGCTTTGCCAGCCCCCTCTCCCTGTGAGAGGGAATCCTCATCTGCCATACACGTACATGCACACACACATACCGCAATAGATGGTTACATGAAGGAAGAGCACATGTTAATAGCAGGAAGAGTTGGGGATGCACAGGAAAGTGCAAGGGTGTAGAGGAAGAGCTAAGCACAGGCACATGGGCACCAGAGAAAAGCCTATAAATGATCTTACCATGATGTTCTGAGTGACCCTGCAATGGAATACTAGTCTCTACAAACACTGCTACACAGCGCTGTGTCATGATAAGACGTTATGATGTGTGAAGCAAGATGTTGCACTGCCAGCATGTCACAAAGTGCCACATTTGATCATGACCTATTTCTCTAACTCTAAAAGAATGAGTGCAAATCTTCAGATTTGCATTTAGAATTATTCTACCAATTCCAGAACATTAATCCACAAAACTTTACATTTGAACCTTATTATCCTAACCCAAGAGTTAAGACTGAGTGATTGTAAACATTTTTGAATGTTTTAAAATTGCTTCACTTTCTCAAGTCCTGTTATGTGATGCAGAAAAAAACAAAAAAAATCTAGACATACGTGAGAAAATAAAATATAAAACCTTTACATCTTTTTGGTCATCTATCCTATACTTCAAAGACTGATGGTAAGCATGTTTGGCTTTGTGACCATGTACTGGTTCCAAATTTATAATCAATAAAACACTGTACTAAAAGCGATTCAGTTAGGATGTGGTGGTGATGAGGCATTCAGGATTTGTTCATTGGAAATATAATGGAAATGTATCAAATTCACATGGTTCCCATAGCATATTCCCAACGCAAATAAAACACTAATCGAACATTTTTTTATTCCTTTTAAATTATTTTAATCTCTAATGATAACTAGTTCTTTTCACAAAAGCACTACTTATAATCATCATCAACTGCCTTTCTTGAAGAAGTTCTAGTATCCAATTACGGTATTAGACAAAAATACTTCTTGAGAAGACCACAAGTGACTTTTTTATTTAAATTGTGTTTTCTTTTTACAGTTAGACTGATTTTAATTACTTTACAAAGCAACTATGTTTTTTCTTCATATAACCCTGTAAATAAAGCAATATGGTTTAGGCTATTAAAAAAAATCAACTGTACCTTACAACCTTCACAAGCATGTACTCCATAATGGAAGCCTGAGGCTTTGTCCCCACAAATTCTACATTCAATGTTTAATGCTCCACTGGGTGACTCATCTATGCTACCTGGAATTGTGGCAAAATTAATGGATGAAGGACTTGATGCTGGTGAAAGGGTATCTAAAAGAAAAAGGAACACTCAAATTATGTACTACCAAAATCAGTACCAGTTCTGTGCTAAATTTCATCCACATAGGAAAGTTTATTTTAAAAGCCTGAAATAAAAAAAATCATTACATGCACTATTAATTTAACAGTAACAAATCTGTTTGAAAACTAGCTCATGCTTCTATTAATAGTGCACCAAACAAATACAGGGTCTGTACAGCTAATGTCGATGACACATACAATGCACACACAAAAGGATAGGAGAGCTAAGAGCCAGAACCAAAGAAGTTGTAGTGGTATTTCAACAATAGTTCGTAAGTATGCACAGAAAATTTAGAATAATTTAGATTGTGATCCAAAAGTATCTAACTAAAGCTTTGAAATCACTTGTTAAATGAATGACTATTTCATGTTTGCAAGAGAATTTATTCATTATAATTCTCTGTAATTATCTATTTTTCAGATGTTTTACTAGTTATAAAATAATGTAAGTTATAAATGGAAGAGTGGCACTGGCCAAACAGACTGATACATGTTGCTGGGGCAAAGCCCATGGACCAGATCCTCAAAGTATCATCATAATGCCCAGGCAGCCAATGGACCACCCTTTCTCTATGGTTATAATCAGCACAGCTGGCCATTACATCTTCTGCCCAGGATACTTCCAGACACGCGCTTTAGTTTAGCCTACTCAGGTCAGAGTCAGACCTGCTGTTACGGAAAGACAGCAAAACATACCTTCCTGGTTAAAGCCCCCAGGTCAGCAGAACATTTAAGCACATGCTTATCTTTAAGCATGTGTTTAAAGTCCCATTTTAGTTCAGTGGGACTATTCATGTACTCGTGAACTAGGGCCTAAGACAGGAGATGCTGCGCTTCTAATGCCATTCTGAAGAGTTTGCCCTTTACCAGAGGAGTGAAAACAGGCCATATGATTAAACTGCAGTGAGGCTAAAGAGAAGCTTCAAAAGGAAGACAAACTAGGGATCACAATGTAGATGATCTGACAATCAAAACCTTCTTTGACTGACTGTGCTGCCTCGCCTCTCTAAATGTGAGGAAAACAATGCTCAACAACTCAAATAGTAAAATAACTAAGCAGAAACTGTCCAATGCTCTTCTGTAAAATTTAACCATCTTGCAAAATTAAAACGCTTCACTTTGAACCACCTCCAAAAACACCAAAAAACCCCCATAAGAACAGAAGAGTTGCCATACTGGGTCAGACCATGGTCTATCTTGCTCAGAACCCTGTCTCCAACAGTGGCCCAAACCAGAGCTTCAAAGAGAGCATACAGAACAGGGCAATTATGGAATGATTCTGGTAGTCAGAGGTTTAGGGCTGCATCCCTGACCATCTTGGCTAATAGCCATTGATGGACCAATCCTCTATAAACTTAACTTGTTCTTGTTTAACCCAGTTATACTGCTGGCCATCACAACATCCTCTGCAATGAATTCCACAGGTTAGTTGTGTGTTGTATGAAAGAGTACTACTTTGTTTCTATAAACCTGCTGCCTATTAATTTTATCAGGTGACCCCCGGTTGTTGCACTGCATGAAGGGATAAATAACATTTGTCTATTCACTTTTCCCACATCAATTATGATTTTATACACCTCTATCATATCCTCACTTTGTCGTCTCTCTCTCAAAAAAGATGAGCAGCCCTCATTTTTAGTCTCACCTCATACGGAAACTGTTTCATAACCTTGATTAACTTTTGTTGTCTTTCTCGGAACTTTTCCGAGTTGAACAATATCCATTTTTGAAATGGGACGGCCAGAACTGGACACAGTATTCAAGGTGTGGGCTTAGCATGGATTTATATAGGCTCATGATGATATTTTTGGTCTTATTTTCCATCTCTTTCCTAACAGTTCTTAACATACGATTAGCCTTTTTCTCCGCTGCTACGCATTGAGCAGAAGTTTTCAGAGAACTATCCACAATGACTCTAAGGGATCTCTTTCTCAGGCAGTAACAGCTAATTTAGACCCCATCATTGTGTATGTATAGTTGGGATTATTTTTTCAAATGTTCATTACTTTGCATTTACCAACATTCAATTTCATCTGCCATTCTGTTGCCCAGTGACCCAGTTTTGTGAGATCCTAGGAGACAGAGTTCCCCCTTTCATAAATTCATCCCTAAGGGATATCGCCACCCAAACCATGAGCTTCTCCGCACCAATCCTCTGCAACAGTGATACTCAATAGTCAGCCCGTGGGCCAAATGTTGCCCACCAAGGCTTCCTGCATGGCCCATTAGCTCATCTTTAAAAAATGTTTATCATTAAATTCACAAACAGAGATGTGCTGCCTATCATTTGCCTACAACTTCTTTAGTAAGTAACTTACCCGAGCAAAAATTAAGCACTGCTTACTAGATCTTAAGTTCTTGCGATAGCATCGGCTATGATTGAGCTAGGATGTCATCCATTTTTTCATTAGTGATGGAAATGGAGTAAAAAATGAGTGACAGTGGGAGTAAAATGTTGCAAAGTTGACAGTGAAAACCAAGCTTTTAACCCAAACTGGACAGTGGATTTTCTTATTATGCCACCTTATTTAAATGCAAAACCTTTGGTGTTTAATATGCCAAACCACTGTATCCATCTGTAAAATCACCCACGTGAGATGCCACTTTGAATCAAAGCACAGTAATTTTAACAAACAAAAATAAAAACAAAACAAAAAAGGACAAAGCAACAGCTGCTTCTCTTCAGATAATGTTGGTACTAGCTAAAAAGAAAAAGCCTTTCCTGGCTGCCGAGCTTGTGAAGGAGTACACGCTGGAAATGCTGGAGGAGCTTTTTGTCAGAGATAAAAAAAAGATGACATTGCGAAGCAAGTGAAGCAAGCTCTCCTGTTTGATTCCACAGCAATGTGAATATTGGAGGTAATTTACAAGGATTGTTTGTCATCACTGCTTTCTGATTTAAAAAAAACACCAAATACATGTCTCTTGCAAGCGATCTAAGTGACATGGCCCAGCTACTGTTGTTTGTTAGATTTTATGATGGTGAAATTTTCAAGGAAGAATTTTTGTGCTTAGTACAATTAGAAACCTACACCACAGGCAAGATCATTTTTGAAAAGGTAAAAGGCTTTTTTGAAAAAAAAAATGGTATAGATCTGCAGAAAGTAAACTTGCTTGTTACAGATGGAGGTCCCTCTATGACACGGAAAGAGAAGGGCTTTGCTTCACATTTGGCACCGATACAGCCTTCATTAAAAACACTTCACTGAATCATTCACCAGACTGTCCTGTAAATTTACACCAGTAAATTGTCTGGGGACTTGAAAAAAAAAAACAACAACAATGGGTATTGTGATGAGATTAGTGAACTACATATGCTCAAGTTCTAGCTTGCAACGTTGTCTTTTTAAAGGTCTTTTACAAGACGTTTCAGCCGAATACAGTGATCTGTTGCACAACGTTTATTGGTTAAGTAGGAAGCGCGCGTTAAAGAGGTTTTGTGCACTTCAAAAAGAAATAATCACAAGACCAACAAGGCATGTGAGTTCCTCGAATTTATGAATGATGTCTCCTCTATGTCACAGGTAGCTTTCTGTGCGATATACTGGTCACTTGAATTGCCTCAACTTCCAGCTCCAAGGCCATGAAAACAGTGTCGGAGGTCTGAAAAAGTGTGTGCTTTCAGAAGAATCTTAAAACGTTTCAGACAAACTTAATAGGAAAGATGTTGCACTTTCCCACATTGTGTGTTGTTGCTACAGATGAAACGTCAATGAAAACGATGCAAGAATTCCTAAACAATCCAATCGCAAATTTTTAAATGTGATTTGAGAATTTTAAAATTCCAAAGGATTCGTTTTTGTTTGTTCATGATCCATTTGTGGCAACTGCCTATGGACCTTGCCTTTCTGAAGCAAAGAACATTCTTGATTCAACGGATGAAGGTGACTTAATTAGAAATTGTAAAACTCCAGAGCTCAGATGTCTTCAAGGCAAAATTCCGAGAAGTGGGACTTTGTGATTTCTGGATTCAATATGCAGACCAGTTTCAGAATAGCCAGAATCTAGCCATCTATCTTTTAACAATGTTCAGATCAACGTACTTCTGTGAATCTGGGTTTGCTAACGTGACTATTAAAACCAACACTGCAATCACCTGGCAGATAAGCATCTTCACCAGTGCATGCACCTTGCCCTGACCTCCTACAAACCACTCTTCACAAAACTTGCCAGCAATCATCTATATCACCTCTCCCATTAGAGATTGCCACAAACACAGGTAATAATGTTGATTTATAAACTTCGTTAAAAGATAGAAACACTAATACTTATGTTGCAATCAAGGTCTTTATTTATTGGCAGCCGAAGTTTTTTTTTGGTTTTGGTTTTTAATTTTGTCAGCCTTCTGCACAAATAGCCTGCCTCATCATTAAAATTCTCAAATTGGCCCGCTGGTAGATCTAATTGAATATCACTGTTCTAGAACCTAAACTCCACCAAACTTGAAATTTTCTAAAGCTAGAAGACTTGTCCTTATATCTTGTAGTACATTGTAAGATTTTACCAAATTCACAGGTGTTTTATTTGAACAAATCCATTAAAACAATTATATGAATGTAGGTCAAGGCATATGATGTTAGAAACAGGTTAACTCAGAACTCGTATTGCCAACCTCAACAGCCTCAAAAAATCTTGACTCAGACCACCCAAAATGATTTTTTTTTAAATGTTTTAGAAGTTTTTTTTTTTAAGTTCTTTTATTTGCCTTCCAGATTTTGAGCCTTTGGGTTCATGTTTTCCATTTTTTCTTTGCAATCAGGAAGGCAGTAAAATTGTGAGAGTTGGTAACACCATGTCACAAACTCAGATGTGTTACATCTCCTGCTTTGGCCAGAAGGATCCTGTTTTTAAATCCACTTTCTGAACTGTTCCTGCACAGAAGCTTGAGCGCTAAGGAGATATTCTAGGCGGCATCTTTATGATTAGGGCCACTTTTGGCAGGATTTCTACTGTAAATGACTCTTGCTCTAGGCTACATCTCTGATCACAGACTCCCAAGTGATCCCTGAGTGATACTGGGCAATGCTCTAGCCATTTCTCCCTTGCCACAGGGACAAGCATGCAGCAGCCACAGCTCCCACCCTCCTGTCAGGGAACAGTAGGTGAGGTCAACCAAAGAGAAAGGAGAAGCCAGAACTAAACACCCAGGTATAGCAGCTCAGGCAGAGCACTTCCCAGTTGATGGCAAGAAGCAACCAGATCTCCTTGACAGCAGAGGGCAAGAAGCAGTCAGCCACACGGGCTAATAACCCAGCCACAGCCTCATATTCATCAACTCCAGGCCTAGGGGAAACAAGGCACAGCTTCCAGAGTTAGCTGGACACTGGCCTAGGGAAATACCCGAGTCAGCCAGGAGCATAAAAATCCCTATGTTCCTAAAGCTCATTCCATGCTGTAGCCTTGTCAGTCTTACGTTCTGGTAATCAGAACGTTTGATCTCATTTATGTAAATAAGTCATGTGTATTTACTCAATAAGCAAGTTAGGACAAATTCATTTGCATAAACATGCCAGATTATGCACCTTCAGCATTAAGATCTGTGATTTCAAACAAACACTATTCTAAAGTAACTTTAATCTTCTTCTCCTTTCAGAGTAGCAGCCGTGTTAGTCTGTATCCACAAAAAGAAAAGCAGGACTTGTGGCACCTTGGAGACTAACAAATTTATTTGAGCATAAGCTTTCCTGAGCTACAGCTCACTTCATCGGATGTCCTCCAAAAGTGGTGGGAAAAAAATCTCCTATTGTCACTGTACTGGATAAACAAAAATGGTACATAATAACCTTAATGGCAGCACTACAGTCCTCATTTACGCCTTTTATATAATAAAAACCTCATGTAATCAAAGATCTGAGGATTAATGACTCTCTGCCTTAATAACTGTGTTACTGATATCAACAGAGAAACCAACATTTAAATAAAGGCATTTTGAAGAGATGAAAAGTTACAGACAAACCTTTTCACTGAGATTTAGTTTAACTTTTTAGCAGTCAGAATGACAAATCTCCTTTTCGCACAGATTTTACTATACATATCGTGTATGTTATAAGAGTCACACAGATTGTAGTTCATGGGACTGATTCAAAGACAGCAAAATCAGTGGAAAATTTTGAGAGGTATTATAAATATTATACAGTATCTGCTAAGTTGGAGAGGAATGAAGCTACTTTTGTAGTGACAGTTGTGATTATTTTGAAAGATACCGGTAAAAAATGGTGTACACTAAAGGTAGTCAGCAAAATTTCATTTTAAAGGGAGCACAAATTTATACAAAACAAGCCAACATACTTTTATCTCCACCTCACCTCATCAGTGAAACCAATAAAATAATTTAAAATTTTTGTTTTAAAAATATCACTTTTTTATGGAGTAACTTTTGACTCACAAATTTCAGACTGGAGTTAATTTATTGACATTATAAACAGCTAAAAGGTTTTTGTTTCCAGTGTGATCTACACATCTGAAACAACTGTTGTAATGTAAAGGAAGGATTTGCTTAGCTCAATTAAATACATCTTATCTCAAATGATGAAGATTTACTGTATTCTAAACTCTTACCTGTAATGACTGATCCATCAGATCCTGGACCATTTCCCAAAGACTGGAGCTCTGTTACGCTGAATGCTCCAGGGCTATCATCACCAATAGACAGAGATGCCCTGTATGTTTTCCATGTCTTGTAGGAACTCTCTAGATAAGGGGCTTCCGAGATCATCCTCCTCTAAGGGGGAAAAACTGGTTTTCTGCATCCACCATTTAATCCTCATATTAGACTGTTAAAAAAAAAAAGATATTACATATATATCATAGCACATTTAAAAGCTCTATAAACTGAATCAATTACATACAGGTACAAAATAAGGGAGTCCATAATTTGCAGTAAAATATTTTGTACTAAAATGTTTTTTCAGAAGCATTGTGTAAAATGAAATACTGACACGATGGCAAAAATCCCCATAGATTGACCACACAAAAGAAGATTATGGCTAAGTAAGTATCTATGTTGCCTTCTCCCTCTCTTCTGCTGTTGAAAGCGGCAAATTATGTTTCTATCGCAAACAATAAGTATTTCAGCTTGAACTGTACTAGGTAAATGGCAAATGTCAATAAATAAATCTACAAATTATGAATAACCATACATCAAAATACTTTACTTAGGGAGTAGTTTATCCACAGCTGTAGTCTGACTAGGGTCAGAAGATGTGCATCAGGTGCTATCTTCATCCCTCCCAAATTTGTTCAGTATATCCTGTGATTCCGCAGAGATCACAACTTTACCTTATGGTATTAACCTCTGGGAAATAATGAGCCATTCATTCTGGGTGCAAACCTGCTAAGTCAGTAAAGTTACACTGGAATACCCTCACCCCTGATTTCACATTTTAAAATTTTCTTTAGTTGAATCTGCCAGAAAAGTAAACAATGGCACATACTGTATAATGTTGCTACTCACGCCAAGAAGTACTGCTATTAAAAGAAGCTGGCCTTTGAGGCTGAAACTACACTTATAGCTGCATTTTCTTCAACTGGTGTAAGAACACATACTAATTCAGTATGTCCATGCACTGAATATGCACTGCTGGTTACAGAAATCTTTGACTGTTACTTTAGTCACCATGAAGACTTGACATTTACCAACATACCATGTTCTTACCAATTTTTACCTCCAAGTTTACGAGAAAACTGTGGTATATGCTAGCAAATGAAGTTTTAAACATATACACCCAACCCCAAAGTCATTTTCTTATTTGACATTGTTAAAAGTTGTGAATATCTTTAATAGCAAGCAATTTATGCTTGCTTGGAACCACTCAATTTCCACGCATAACCACAGCACAATACATTTGGCTCATTAAGTTTTGAGCATTTATCTTGGGAGAAAATTTTTAATTTGTTTTCTTTTGCATGCAACTGAAACAAGGGCAGAGTTATGATTGACAGGCTGTGCTGATTGCTGGGGATCTACCTTTTACAATGCAAAGGACAATCATCTTTAAAGACTAATAAACATCAGAAACACTCAGGGAGGACCAGTTACGTAGGAGTCTGGCCCATCAAAGTTGTTGCAGAGGTGTAACTGAGGGCAGATAGTGATTCAGTATGTATAACATGAGTCTGTGCAAGACTAAAAAAGTTGTTTGCAACCATGCACACTGCACACACAGTTTTTACTAGTCATCTTTAATGATCAAAGTACTGTTATAGTAGTGCAGTCTCTCAGATATTCATTATACTTTCCAGAAGTTCACTAGCATATACAAAAAATTCTGTACTGTTTTCCAGTGTGTGCTTATTATACCAAATTACATTGTAAGGTAAAAAACTAAAATAGGAAACAGCACTTGATAAGTATATATAAAAGTAATTTGTATGCTGTAGCTTGCATCCTTACCAACAGAGGACTGTCTGAGCAATTAATGTCATTTACAATGTTTGCACTGGCTTTCTGTCAAATTCCATATTAATATTAAAGTCCCCCAGCTCTCAAGTAGATCCCTGAATAACTGTGGTTCATCTTACTTAGCCACACTCACTCATTCTGATCATAATGGATGACGAGGAATACAGATTCTAATCCTTAAAGTTAGGGAGTATGCTTCGAGTTGGAGTATGTGTCCATAAATCAGCATATTTGTTTTCATCTAATTATGATCTGTATGACTTTGGGCATGCTACTAAGCTTTTCTCTGCTTCTGTCCCCATCCATGAAATGGAGAAAACACTGTTCACCTTTGTAAAGCACTTTCAGGTCCACTGACAAAAGACATTGTACATAAAGGCAAAGTATTTTTTTAAATTGGGATTTGCTTCCCTGATCTGCTTGCCAGGAAAGTTTGGCTACTACTGTGGGGCTCTTTCCTCTTCAAACCACATAGTAATGTATAACACTGGGTTATTTTAGAAATGCAGGGTCCACCATAATCAGTGGCCTAACACAACATGTATGTATCTGGAGGAAAAGAACTGTAAGATTAGTACAGACACATAGATATAGGGCCTTCACTTAGTTTTCATTTGGTCCACATCACACCAATTGGGTGTTTTACCCAAATAAAAAACTGGTTAAGGAATTCAGTATTTGGCCCAGAGAATTTACAATACAAGCTTTTCCAGGAAGCACATTGTACAAACCAGACCAGGGAAATGTTCTGTGCACCAGAAAACTGAAAAAAACTGCAGGTAGCAAATTGTAAGAAGAAGGGAACAGCATTCAAGATTTATTTATTTAGGCTGCATAAAAAAAAGACAATGACTGGCTGAACTGCAAACTCAAGATATGGAGACAACTATTATTAAAAAGGTTCTCTACCTTACATGGGTAGGTGGTTTGGTTGGGAGTAGGAAGTACTGCTTTTCCCTGTCTAGTTGCCAGACATTTCCGAAAAATTGACAATTATCTTGTTTATAGTGCTAGATTTCTTGGCAAGATTTGCTCCCTCAAGCCAGGCACAACCCATGTAATACAAACAGTATTACAAATACAAATCAATTTGACAGAAAGAAAGGACAGATCTTGAAATAGCAGCAACTCATCTCTAAGTACATCTTATAATTTATAACATTTAAAAACATCTATGCTACAGAATGAGACTGGGCAAAGAAGTGATGACAACTAAAACAGATGTACTAGACCAGGTGTTGTGGTAGAAGAATGATACTGAGACTAACAAGAATTATTCAGTCAATCATCATAAAACTATCCATCAACTGGATGCTGCCACAGGCGATGGTCATGTTCTGACTAACGTTAGTCTGATTTGCTGCAGTTCCACTCAATTTATTCTATACATTACATTGTGATTTTAAAAAAGATCAACTCAAGTGCCAGCTGCCCATTTTGATAGGTTATATGATGGTTAGGACATTTTAATTTCCTTTAATTTAACTGTATACAAACATTTTTAAAGTGAACTCCAAATATAAATAAGCCATCAGTGATCTCTCGGAGTTTGTGGATTATTGTCTTCCATAAAATTATAGCCAGTTATCACTGGTGGATACACAGGTGGCTAATCTGGGATCCACAACTGATACAGACACTTCCCAATGGAAAAGGCAAATCTGGATTGTTGAGTTGGGCTGTGGTGCATTCTTTCCTCCTTTCCCATTTTTCCATTTCCTGTTATCTCTGCTGGCTCTCAAAATACTGGGATGCTTGCCACAAGGTCTTTTTCTATTTATCAGCCAAGGGCTTGGGTCTCCCATGAGTTTAAGTCAATGTTTAAAATCAAATATACACAAGGGCAAGAGGGAAGGTACTGTACATCTGGGGTCGGGCTTGGGTTATGGGGGATTGCAAGTATCAGCTACAAGGTTCACGAAGTACATACATATCACATAACCAGCATAGATCCAGATTGGGGTGTGGGAGTTTTTAAAGCGTCAGTGGATAAGTGGGCTTGGGTATGCCACCCATGGGATGTATTAAGAGTCCAAGTCAGTATTGGTGTAGAGAATAAGTACATGGGTAGGGTGCATCCCTCGGTTCGTCAGGGAAGAAAGTGGGTTATTCCCTAGTTGGCATTCTTGGTTACTCGATCTGGTACTGGTGGTGTCCTGTGATGTGTTCCGTGTAGATGTCTCTGGACCACCTGATGGTGTCAGACACCATGAGCTGTCTCATGAGCCGGGCGTAGCATCGACCGACTCCGCACGCTCTCAGTACCTGCTCGTTGTGGAGGTCCCATGCTCCCAGAGCTCCCACGACTAGGGCGTGGATCTGGACCTTGTAGCCCTGGACTCTCAGGGTGTCAGCCAGTGGGGTGTACTTCAAGACTTTCCGTGCTCGGACCTCATGGAAGGCTGGTGACCTGTTTTCAAATGGCACCGTGACGTCTACCATGAGGACCTCCTTCTTTTCTGCTTCGGTTATGACAATGTCGAGTCGCAGTCAGCTGCCTGTCCCAGGGATGGCAGAGTCGACAGTGATCTTCCCCAGGGACAGCAGGATGGCTTTCACCAGCCGGTTCTGGATGGTGTGGTGGCAGTGCTGCCAGGCTCCGAAGTACTGTTTGCATCCACACAGGAGGTGGGGCAGGGTCTTATTGGCGTAGCCGCACTTCCTGCAGCGCTTGTCCCGGTTGCCGTGGCGGATGGCTCCATTGAGGGGAACGCAGTTGAGTCAGGCCCGGTGGATGAACCGCCAGTCAGCGAACCTGGTGAAGCTGCCCCCTGGAGAGGAAGTGGTTGCTGGCATCCCACTTGCTGGATCCCACCTCGAATACCTTGCCCTGGTTCGACTTCTGCTTAAGGTTCTCAGCCTAGTGGCAGCGGATGGCATCCTTTCCAGCGGTCGGGGTGATGATGGTGTGGTCCAGGGTCTTTATTTGCAGCACCAGCATTCCCAGCTCCTGGCGCTCCTCACACCACTTCCAGCGGCAGCTGATCCTTTTTTTAGGCATCTCAAGGCGTTGCGGGACCAGAGAGAGGACAGGTCTCCCCTCTCTCCTTGGCTTTAAGGATGTCTTTGAGCCTTCCCTCATCCTTTGGCCATGGCTCAGTTATGAAAATATGACCTGCTTCAGGAGTTGGTTTTCTGGCATTTGAAGAACATGACCAGCCCAATGGAGTTGGTGGTAGACGATCATCACTTCAATGCTGGAGGCTTTGGCCTGGGACAGAACACTGATGTTGGTGCATCGGTCATTTCACTTGACTCAGAAGATTTTTCAGTGGCACCATTGCTGGCATCATTCAAGAACCTTGAGGTGTCTACTGTACTTGACCAGGTTTCAGCACCATACAAGACAGAAGGG